ATAAAATTCTCTCCAAAATTCTCGTGAACCGCTTGCGCCCTCTTCTTGATAACTTGATCAGCCCTAACCAAAGTAGTTTCATCCCTGGTCGTTCTACCCATGACAACATCATTATCACTCAAGAATTGATCCATACTTTGCGTAATAGGAAGGGTAAAAATGGGGGTTTAATCATTAAGCTTGATTTGGAAAAAGCCTATGATAGAATTTCTTGGAACTTTATCAGAGAAACCTTGACTGAATTCAATCTTAATACCCATTGGGTGGATCTCATCATGAGTTGTGTTTCCAATGTAAATTTCTCTATTTTGTGGAATGGTGAAACTATGCATGACTTTTCTACTGGAAGAGGTCTCAGACAAGGAGATCCTCTTTCACCTTATTTGTTTGTCTTATGTATGGAAAGGCTCTCAAATATGATTAAAGTTAAAGTTGAGAACAAAGATTGGAAAGGAATCAAAGCTTCTAGGAACAGCCCATCTGTCTCTCATCTTTTTTTTTGCAGATGATCTTCTTCTGTTTGCCAAAGCTGATCAAGAGAATTGTGAGACTCTTATGGAAACCATGGAAGAATTTTGTGCTATCTCAGGCCAGAAAATTAATCTCCTTAAATCTAAAATGTTCATTTCTCCTAATGTGGACAGGAATCAAGCCTCTAGCCTTAGTCTATTTTGTGGTATTTCTTTGACTCAAGACCTAGGGAAATACCTTGGAGTGCCCCTTCTCCAAAATCGGGTTAGTAGAAACCTTTATAATAATGTTGTGGACAGGGTTCAGAAAAAATTATCTGCTTGGAAAGCCAGAACTTTATCTCTTGCTGGGCGAGCTACTATAATCCAGTCAGTTTCTTCTTCTATCCCCTCTTACCTTATGCAGACTTCCAAATTACCTCAAGGCTTGTGCGAGAACATTGACAAGATACATAGAAGCTTCTTGTGGGGTGAACAAAATAACAAGAGATCTATTCATTTGGTGAATTGGGATCAGGTTTGTCGTAGCAAAAGAGAAGGTGGATTGGGGTTAAGGAAAGCTGCTAATCAAAACCTAGCCCTCTTGACCAAGTTGGGTTGGAAGATCAATTGTGATAAAAATCTTACCTGGTGCAAAATTCTTAGAGGGAAGTATTTGAATAAAAACACTTTCTCTGGTTGGCCCACTCACAGAAAAGCCTCTCAGACTTGGAAAAGTATTATGAAAACCAGAGATTTTCTCAATAAAGGCCTGAAGTGGACAGTTGGTGATGGGAAGCACATCTCCTTTTGGAATGATTGGTGGTGTGGTGAATGCACCCTTGCTACTAGATTTCCAGGACCTCACACTAGAGAAGAGGTGTCAGTGGAAGACATGATAGATGAGGAGGGTAGATGGAATCTGCAAAGTGTAGAAAACTTTATCTCTCAACAAGCTTTACAACAAATCCGCCAAACCCATCTTCCCCAGCATGTGTTACTTTCAGATAATCCTTACTGGATAGGTTCTTCTAATGGAGGGTTTTCTGTTGGGGCAGCTTATGACTTGATTACTGCTCAAGAGCAAATGTCTCATTCCATTAACTGGAGTTGGATTTGGAAACTCAAAATCCCTCAGAAGATCAAGGGCTTTATTTGGCTTCTCCTTAATGGGCGGCTCACCACTAACCACTTTAGAAGAATCAGAGGGCTCTCACCTTCTGACATTTGCCCTAGATGTCATCTTTATAGAGAAGATCTACATCACCTTTTCAGAGAATGTACTAAAGCTGCAGAAGTCTGGAGGAACATCAGGAATCTTAGTTGGCTAAAAATAAGTTTGAACACTCCTTTTGATCAATGGTTGCTATCTAATTTGAAAAGTAAGAGCTCTAATATCTGGAATGTTCCATGGGGAACTATTTTTACTCTAGCCCTTTGGAAAATTTGGAAAGACAGGAATAATATGGTTTTTCGACAAGAAGATTGTAATGCACAGGAGGCTGCTAGATTTATCCACTTGCAAGCCATTGAAATTCAGGAAGCCTTTCTGACTGATCATTTCACAGGGAGGAAAATACCTCAAGTTTCTAATTGGTGTTGTCCTCTTGCAAGTAAAATTAAGCTTAACACGGATGGATGCTCTAAAGGCAATCCTGGACCAGCGGGTTATGGAGGTTTATTCAGAGATGAAAGAGGGACATGGCTGCATGGTTATCATGGAAAGCTTGATAATGCAACCAGTGAGGTTGCTGAATTGTGGGGAGTTTATAGAGGTCTCACCATCATCCTAGAGAAGAGCATGACAGACATTCTTATAGAAACTGATTCTGAGCAAGTGGTGCTATTCATCAAAGGGGACACTCCTCCAAATTTTGCGCAAAGAGCTCTTCTCGAAGACACCAAATTTCTCATGCTCAGGTGCAATTGCTCCATTAGTTACACTCCTAAAGAGGCCAACAAATGTGCAGATGGACTAGCAAATTTAGGAGCTATCCACCAAGACAATCTGGTAGTGCTTGATGACCCTCCAAGTGCCATTGTAAGTCTGTTGATAGCAGACATGGTGGGGGCATCTTGTGTAAGGACTTAGTGTCCCTTCTTTCTTTCCTGTTTTGTTCTATTTCCTTTGAATCAAAAAAAAAAAAAAAACACCCAAATCAGGATCCTTTTTTTGAGGTTCTTACTTGACTTCCTACTTGTTGGGCCATTGGGCCCACTTTTAGGTTCAATTTTGATAATTCGAACTATTTACATTTTAAAATTTGTTAAGTATATCATACTTGTAAAAAAATCAAGTTAATCGGATATCAGAAAGTATGTATTCAAAAAACTGTTTATTAAATTTTTTTAAAAAATAGTTTTTAGTTCGATGATCAGAACACATGTTTTCTGATATCCGATCAATTTGATTTTACACAGGTATGATATACTTAACAAATCTTAAAATGTAAACGATTTGAATTATCGAAATTGGGCCTAAAAGTGGGCCCAATGGCCTAGCAAGTAAGAAATCAAGGAGGAACCTCAAGGAAAAGATCCTGATTCAAAACACCCATTGTCCTAAGTAACTTGACACACTCAGAATATATGGTGCAAAGGAAAATGAGTGAGAGCACTAATTAGTGCTACCACTAATGATGTGGCAGTGGGCCCCACCATGAATGATTTGATGTATTGGCCTTGGTGTTATATTTTTTTCTTTTTTTATTAAGTGTCATGTCATTAGTGATTTTTTTAGAGCTCCAAAATTAGTAGTCTCTATCATTGTTGATGGTGCAAATATCTCACTATTCAAACTTAACACGAACTCAACCAACAATATAAAGTTAAAGGCCCCATAACGCTGTGTTTGGTTATGAGATTTGAAAAAAGATTTAGAAAGAGAAAAAGAAAGGTATGTGAAATGTAAATAAAATATATTTACATTTCACCTAATTTCACACTTTTTCTCTTTCTCTTTCCAAATCTCTTCTCAAATTTTTCAACCAAACACAACGTAAAATGACTTGGCATCTACCCAAGGTGAAAGCCCTCCCTCATCCTAACCCATTTTAGATGTTGAAGGATAAAATTTGAATAAAATATATTATTATGAAGTCTTGAACTAGTTAAAAAAAAAAAAAAAAAATCTTGATGGTAAATTGGAGGGAAAAATGATCCTTATTGTTGGTTTTTAGCTTATGTAGTACAGGGTTTGCTAGAATGCCTCATTGATTCGGAGACAAAGCCCAGCCCATACATACAATAGGCAAAGGAAAGACCTACATTTCGTAGATCCCGCCCGAAAAATACAAGTTTGACTGAGGATTAGGAAGGAGAGATGCCAGAAAAGGCTCCAAATGGTTTAGTGGACTTTGTGCAGATATGTGATGAGAGTCGCAAATATGTTAATGAGAAGGCTTGCGTCTATATGTGTGGGGTAGTGGGTAGGCCTATGCACCTGTTTCTTCTAAGATGTATGAGGCTATTGAAGTTACTGGCTTCAATCACTTGGCTAAGATTTTGATCAGATACAAAATCATATCTAATGGTATTTTTATGGGGATTTAGGCTTGATTTGGCATACCTCAAAAAATTTAAAAAGTTAAAAAATTATTTAAAAAGTTATCATTATTTACCCAAAAAAAATATAAAAAAATTCATTTTACACAAAATTATTACAAACAACTCTGACGTCCCCCAGACACAGAGCTGACTTTTTTGTAAAAATTGCACAGGCGGGGTGCACAAACAACACGATATTGTTTGGCCCATGGGGGCTTATCACGGGTCCCGTTTGATAATCTGAACCGTTCAATGTGTAGAATTCGTCGAGCACTATATGCTTATAAAAAGTCACGTTGATATAATATCGCTAACTACATGATCAAATCAATTTTGTATAAAAAATGGATGGTGTTATAGCTAACGGTTGAAAAAAAAAACTAGTCTGATCAGGTAGTTATCGATATCCGATCAATGTGATTTTTTATAAACATATAGTGCTCGACGAGTTCTACATATAGAACGGTTTCGATTAGCAAAACGGGACCTGTAGTGGGCCCCCACGAGCTGAACAGCACCGTCGGATTCAATGCCCGAAGAGGGAACCATCTCCTAACCTATACTCTGCATACACTGCCCCTTAGAACATCTCACCATACTGCCTATTTTATTCCAATCTTCTCATATACACTAATTTATATATTTTTTTAATACACATTTTTTTATAAAAAGTTAAAAAGTTTTTCCAAACAACCATATTTTTTTCCATAACTTTTTAGTCAAAAAAGTCAAAAACGTACACTTATTTAAGACATCTCAGACAATCTCTTAGTCAGTATTCAAGATCATTGCCATTCCTTTTTGGGACGCTATAAGATGGACGACTACCTTTTGGTGGTAGGTTAGGGTGGATGGTAAAGCCCATGCTGTGGCTAATCTTCCTAATTGTGCGTGGGTTGGGCTTAGACCACGTGAGATATGGTTAAATTTGTCATTGCTGCAGGTGTTAAGCAAATTTTAAAGAAAAGCAGAGCACCAGAGTTTTTACTAAATATAAAAGTAATAGAAAGTGAATTCAATACTTGTAAACTATGAAAATATATAAGTACAATTATACATTTCCAGATATTCACATACCCAACCAATACAAATTAATCAAAAACCAAAAGCAATCTCTATCTTTCCTAATTACACCATCTTCCACTAGGAGGAAGGCCAACTTCAAAAATAGAAGGCCACCTTTCATAACTTTAAAATGTCTATACATAACCAAAAACTAGAAAAATAGGTTTAGGCATCAGTATTATTATTGTCTTTAGCTCGCCACAAAAAAAAGCTAGGCGGCAGGTGGAGCGGGAGTGTAATGACCAACGTTGGCCTCTGCCACCATTGTCACTATGACTTTGTCGGCTTCACCTTCAATGGGTGATATGTTAGTCCTCTTGTAGTCCAATGATTCATCATTGTATATGTCCCACCAACTCTTCACTAGCATCTTGATATCTTTTCTATCCATGTTCTCTTCTTTTCCAGTATACCTCCATGGCTTTGATCCCTAGAAAAATAAATAAATAAATAAATGTGGTAAGAAAGAAGCCAAATTACAAATTAATTACTTTAGAATATTGATTTCATTTATTTAAACTAATTTGTGAAAAAGAAGAAAAGATTGGATTATTGGTCATGAACACTCACCGCGGCACAATAGTGAACAACTTTCACTTTGTTGAGTTCAATGTTCTCTGGGTGGCGCCAAAGCATGGCCAAAACAAGGTTGTAAATTGGTAGGATAGGCTTGTAAACATCCCTAAAGAACATATTCAAAAAGTCCTGCAAGTACAACCATTTAAGTTCATATCAAATTATTGCCAAAATAAAATTTATATATATAGGACACAGATTTTGTATCCCAAAATTCATGCCCTTATCTCAATACAATTTTAACTGCATAGCATTGTCTTGAAAATTTTCTTGTTTCGATATTCTCGCCACATCATGTGAATGAAAATTCATTGAAAATAAAATAATGAGAATTTTATGGTCAAAATATCTTGTCCATTTCAAAAGCTCAACTATTATGTATTGGGATTTTAAACTTTCAATACCAATATTAATTGATATATCAGTAAACACTATTTAATATCGGCTGATATATAACAATATTGTTGATATTGATATGCATCCCAATACTGTCATTTAAAAGGTGTTCGAATGACAAAATTTGATTATTACCTGCTCAGCAAAAGGGGTAGGCGGGGTGATTTTGAGGGTCTCTAAGAGGTCATCATAAATTGAGAGACTGGGCTCGAACACGAACATGCCAGCATTGAAGTAGAGGGGAGGCCGGGGACCCAACTCTGCAGGCCACTGGACCTTATCAGGGCACTGTTGGCAGTACCCAATCTGGTACTGTGGGGTGTGAGACCATGTTTTTTCACAAAAACAGTCCTTCACGGCATAAAAGTAGCCATTTGGATTGTCAAAGAGGTGATCTATGTTTTCAAACACCTGGATGTCTCCGTCCAAGTATATCATCTTATGGTACTCCACAAACTGCAATTGATAACAAGTCAATATGCATTATTTCAGCTAGAAAGATCATTAATTAGTATTCCATGAAATTTTATACAAATTAAGAACTTATACCATGAAATTCTATACAAATTTTTAACTACCTCCCAGATGCGAAGCTTGGAGTAGTTGATGACATAGTAGGCCATAGCAAACTGGGTCTGGTTCTCCGGCGGGTACACCGGCACGATCTCACGGACTATGCATCCCTGAGCCACCAGCATATGGCGGTGTTCCTCCGGCACATCCGGAAGCACGGCCACGACAAGCGGGTAGGCAGTGTGGACCTTCCTCAGGCCCTTGGCTAGCCCGACCACGCCCTTGACATAGTCACCATTGCCAGCCAAGAAAGTGACATAAGCTCTGCTCATCAGGCTCGCGGCCTTGACTAGGCTGGTGGCCTTGGTGGTTGCACTCACAAGTTCAGGAGACATTTGGGATTTCGCAACAAATTTTAGAGAAAGAAAGAGAGGTCTAGAGAGAGAGAGAGAGAGAGAGAGAGGGAGAGGAAGTTGGGAAGTGTATGAGAAAATGAAGAAGAAATCTGGGGACGTTTTGGTGAGTTTTGTGGATTTTCTTCAACGGGGGCATTGCTTATTTATGGGCGTTGGTGGATGAATCTTCGAGGAAGCTCTTGTTAAAGATTCATGATCTTGTTGTTTAATTAACTGTTTTTTTGGAGTCGTTTCGGTGGGTTTGAATGTATTCTGCCCAACGGACTGTACGCGTGTTAAAGTGAGCGTGGCAGTGATCAGATCCGACGGCTGTGAGTTTCCCCCTCGAATAGAGAAAGTCTGGAAATGGATAATGGGTCGGTGCGAATAAAAGGATAAACTAATAAAATAAATATCAAATAAATAAAAATGAAAATGAATTACGATGTTGAATGTAATACCGAAAGCTCCTCATTAATGCTAGTCTATTGAACGGTGGTATTAAATGGTAGTGGTATATGTAATAATTAATTATGACATTATTTTGACTTTATCTATTAATTACATTATAAATTTTAGAAACTTTTTAAATTATATCACATCATCAATTAGTATACTAATTAGGACATTAATTAGTACATATAGCATTATTCGGTATTAAAATACGGTGGTGTTATATTTATTAATTGATATATCAATTGATATATATAGTATTATTTAATTGATCCATATAGTATTATTTTAAAATTATGATCAAACCTATTATACACAAATTATAAAGATTCAAAATCTCTAAAATTATGTTATGTCATCCGTTAATATACTAATTGATATATAAATTGGTGCATATAGTATTATTCATCTAAATATAAGGTACTGTATGATCATTTAAAAATAATAATAATTTGTTTATTGTCTTATAATTTAATTTTATATTGATTTAATAAGTGTTTTCACTCACATTTATATTAACAATAATGATAGAAATACAGAAATCAAATATTTATGCACATAAATTTACTCTTATATTATTGTAAACAGGACATTAGGTTTGTCGTGCTTGTGTAGTACTATTTTGTAGTGTGAAATTTCGTGTTCAAATCCTATGATTTTTCTTCTTTTTCCCAACTAACTAATATCTAACCTCACTAATGTATGTTAACATATTAAATAATAAACAAAATATGCATGATTAATAGATATGACAAATTATTGTTGGGCTACAAAATATTCAGAAATAATTTTATATTAATAATTAAAGTTTAAGAAGCGTGGTATGTTTTTAAAGAGTTCACAAGAGTATTAGGCGACGAGCATAATCAACATTTGGTATCTAACAAAAGAAACCTATTGTTCTGAGTAACTTGACACACTTGGTATATATGGTCCAAATAGCCCATTTCAACTATTCAAACCTATCTAGGCTTGATTTAATTAGCAATAGCTCAAATAACATGAGCTCAACCAACACTATAAAGCCTAAGACCTCTTAAAATGGCTTGGTATCTACCCAAGGCAAAAACCTCCCCGCATCCCAACCCATTTCAAATGTTGAAGGGTACATTTTGAATTAAATATACTATTATGAAGTTTTGAACTAATTTAAGAAAAGTAATAAAAAGAATTGGACTTTATGGTAATTTGGAGGAAAAAATGATCCTATGTAGTTTTTTTTAACTTATGTAGTACACGGACTTGCTAGAATACCTCATTGGTTTGGGACAAAGCCAAGCCCATACATACAACAAGAGGGAAAGATTCACATTTCATAGTACTTGGGAAATGCAAGTTTGATCAGGATTGGAGAGGAGAGGTGCAAGAAAAATCTCTAAATGGTTTTAGTTGTCTTTGTGCAAGTCGTATGTAGTGAGCACATGAAAAATGATGCATGTGTTTTGTGTCTTAGTTTTTGTTTTTTTTTTTTTTTTTTACTTGCCACATCATTAATGGTGGTTTTAATGGTAGAAATTTAGTGATATGTAGCATTGTTGGTGAGCACATATAGTAATGAGGAGGTTCGTGTCTATATGTGTAGTGTGGTGGGTGGCTTATGTATCTTATTTCTTCCATCATCTATGAATCTACTGGAGCTACTCACTTCGATCCATTAACTAAGATTTCAACTGAATACGAAATCATATCTAATGATTACTTTTATGGGGATTTTATCCTTATTCAAGATGTTTGTCATTCCTTTTGGTGGTTAGGGTAGGGTATCTTATTCCTAATTGCATGTGGGCTAGGCTTCGAACATGTGTCTTACAACTATGTCGTAGGAGTGTTGAGACCATAGAATGTTACACGAAAAGTTATTTTTTGTAAAGTATTGTAAATTGTGACATAGCTTGCTTCAAAGAGCCACTTACCCATTATAATAAATTAAGGTTTTAGAGATAAAAATTTAACGATAAAATTATTTTTAGGGATAAAATATTTTCGTTGCTCTAACTGTTATTATTGCATTTTTAGCGACAAATTGGACATTTAATGATGAATTACGATTATTTTGATACCACAATTTGTCTAAAAAAATAAACATTTTTTGGACCAAATTATTGTTTGTAAAAGTATACTTTTTAGCGGCATTTTTTAAATTTTATCGTTCAAAGTCCTTTTTTTGATTTTTTAAGAAGATTTTTTAGTGACTATTCTCACATTGACAGAAATTGATCCCTAAATATATTTTTTTAACAAATTTTTACTTTTAAAGACAAAAAAGTTTGGTCCTTAAAACTTATATTTATTATAATGACTGTAGTGTTGTCACACAAGATAAGAATGTCACCACACCTTTTTTTTTTTAGCAGAAAAGGAATATATATTAATTAGTAGAAGAAACATCCAGGTGAGCCAAACAACTCAAATCCTAGGGGTGTATAGCAACCCAATTTACAGGTAACCGTGACTTTACACTGGCATGGGCAACCCAGTGTGCAACTCTGTTAAAGGTTCGCCTGGTCCAACAAAAACACAGGAGCCAAGCCTGGGAAATACATCTAATGTTAAAGAAAACTGCCATGCTGTCCCAAGGGGGCACATTTTCAGAAATACAGAGCTTGATAGCTAGCAAATTGTCACTCTCAAATTGTCACTCTCGACGACCACATTCCTCCAGTTTTGTAGTTTTGCTATAAGGCAAGCCAACCTTATCGCTTGGGCCTCAACTTGGAAGGTGGAGGCAGTATGGGTATTGATAATGGAAAAATGCTTGGGAGCACTAAAAAGGGATCACTAGAGGGAACACTAATGATGTGGCAGTGGGCCCCGCTCACTTTCTATGTCTTGTTTGCCACATTCCTCCAGTTTTGTAGTTTTGCTATAAGGCAAGCCAACCTTATCGCTTGGGCCTCAACTTGGAAGGTGGAGGCAGTATGGGTATTGATAATGTGTCCATCAATAAGTTGCCCTGTCGAGTCACGAAAGACGACGGCTAAGGAAGTTTTGTTGGACTGCTTGCAAAATGCCGTATCACAATTGGCTTTCAGAGAGCTAGGAGGAGGAGGTTGCCAGCTGGTAGGCCTAACTTGTGGAAGAGGAGAACCATTTTGCTCAAGTACAATGTTCTGCTGAAACTGGATATGTTCCTGCCAAGCATGGGCAGCACGAGCTATGGTTTCTATTGGATTAACTGGAGTATGAGTAAAATAAATGCATTCCTAGTCTTCCAGATTTGCCAACCAGTCATGATGAACTGACTTAAAAAAAGGCGCCAACTGGGTGTGGATTCAAATAATTCCAACTGTTGACTCATCCAAACTGTTAGATTACTGACCGTACACCTTCCAATACGCAGGCTAAGTGGGCTCCCAAACCACACCGTTTGGGTCCAAGGACAGTCAAAAAACAAATGCTCCACTATTTCTAAATCTGAATGACAGATTGGGCACATCCTAGAGGCAAAGCATTTTTATTTGAGGAGGTTGGCCTGGGTAGCTAAAATTTTTTTGCAAGCTTTCCACCAAAAATGTTTAAGCTTGAGAGGTACATCAAGGTGCCAAATCTGTTTCCAGAAGTTGGGTGGGAGCTGGAAGGAAGTTGAAGGACGAGTCTGTTGTTGCGGGTCTTGTAAAGCACGAGCCATAACATATCCCGATTTGACTGAAAAAATTCCAGATTTGGATGGATGCCATACCATTATGTCCTGTTTGTTTTCCATTAAAATAGGGATGAGACTAATAGCCTGTAGTTCCTCCAACGTAACAACCTATTGCAGAACCTCCATCTTCCAACACTTACGATTTGGATCAATAGCATCTGCCACAACATGGATGGATGTATAGAGTGGTTTACAACAAAAATAGTCTTTAGAGACGAAAACTAATGACTGAAATAATATTTTCGTCTCCAAATGTACCATTTTTAGAGACAAAAATAAAATTTCGTCACCAATCTAAATCATAAAAAAAAAATTAGGTGATAAAATTATTTTTCGTCATTATTTATATTTTTTTTGTCACCAAAGATTTTCCCGCTAATTTTTTCAAAGGGTACCAAAATTTTGAAACTTTTGGTGACAAAAAAATTGGTTCTTCTTCTTCTCAAACACACAAAATAATTTCTCCATCAAACCTAATTTCACACACACACACCTTATACTCATTCACACACACACACCTTATACTCATTCACACACAGTTCCCTCACCATCGCAGCTACCATTTCATCGATTCACACACATTGCTGTTGTGCCGATCGGCTCACCGCCGACAGCCTTTCCTCACTGCCGCCGTTGGTTTCTCCTTCCCTTGCTGCCGATTGTTAGCCCCTCCTTTCCTCACCGCCGCTGTTGTGCCAATCGGCTCACCACTACCGCTGTTAGTCTCTCTCTCTCTCTCTCGATGCTCTTTCTCTGATGAATATAAAACAAAAGAATTGGGTGTGGAAAACATGAAATCACATGGAAATTTCAATAAACATTCTAAAGATTAGTAAGTGATTCTACACAAAAAAAGTTGAGACCCAAGTCAATCATGAAATGCAACCTAGTTTGCAGAGTAAGGTAGAATTAATTGGTATGTTATCTATCTTTAGAGTGGTTCCTTATGCCTTTCTGATTATATCATTTTTCAAGGGCTTGAAGTATAATACTAAATTTATCAACAGTGTGATTGTGTTAGTATGCCAGAAAATGCTTTGCATTAACTCCTTTTATT